CTGTGCTGATTCCTGTGCTGGTCTTGTGCTGGTCCCTGTGCTGGTCCCTGTGCTGGTCCCTGTGCTGGTCCCTGTGCTGGTCTTGTGCTGGTCCCTGTGCTGATCCCTGTGCTGGTCCCTGTGCTGGTCCCTGTGCTGGTCCCTGTGCTGGTCCCTGTGCTGATTCCTGTGCTGCATGGTCTTGTGCTGGACCCTGTGCTGGTCCCTGTGCTGGTCCCTGTGCTGATCCCTGTGCTGATTCCTGTGCTGGTCCCTGTGCTGGTCCCTGTACTGGTCCCTGTGCTGGTCCCTGTGCTGGTCCCTGTGCTGGTCCCTGTGCTGGTCTTGTGCTGGTCCCTGTGCTGGTCCCTGTGCTGATTCCTGTGCTGGTCTTGTGCTGGTCCCTGTGCTGGTCCCTGTGCTGGTCCCTGTGCTGGTCCCTGTGCTGGTCCCTGTGCTGATTCCTGTGCTGGTCCCTGTGCTGGTCCCTGTGCTGGTCTTGTGCTGGTCTTGTGCTGATCCCTGTGCTGGTCTTGTGCTGGTCCCTGTGCTGGTCCCTGTGCTGGTCTTGTGCTGGTCCCTGTGCTGATTCCTGTGCTGGTCCCTGTGCTGGTCCCTGTGCTGGTCTTGTGCTGGTCCCTGTGCTGGTCCCTGTGCTGGTCTTGTGCTGGTCCTGTGCTGGTCCCTGTGCTGGTCCCTGTGCTGGTCTTGTGCTGGTCCCTGTGCTGGTCTTGTGCTGGTCCCTATGCTGGTCCCTGTGCTGGTCTTGTGCTGGTCCCTGTGCTGATTCCTGTGCTGGTCCCTGTGCTGGTCCCTGTGCTGGTTCCTGTGCTGGTCTTGTGCTGGTCCCTGTGCTGATTCCTGTGCTGGTCCCTGTGCTGATTCCTGTGCTGGTCCCTGTGCTGGTCCCTGTGCTGGTCTTGTGCTGGTCTTGTGCTGGTCCCTGTGCTGGTCCCTGTGCTGGTCCCTGTGCTGGTCTTGTGCTGGTCCCTGTGCTGGTCTTGTGCTGGTCCCTGTGTTGGTCCCTGTGCTTGTCCCTGTGCTGATTCCTGTGTTGGTCCCTGTGCTGATTCCTGTGCTGGTCCCTGTGCTGGTCTTGTGCTGGTCTTGTGCTGGTCCCTGTGCTGGTCTTGTGCTGGTCCCTGTGCTGGTCCCTGTGCTGGTCTTGTGCTGGTCCCTGTGCTGATTCCTGTGCTGGTCCCTGTGCTGGTCTTGTGCTGGTCTTGTGCTGGTCCCTGTGCTGATGCCTGTGCCGGTCCCCTGTGCTGGTCCCTGTGCTGGTCTTGTGCTGATCCCTGTGCTGGTCCCTGTGCTGGTCCCTGTGCTGGTCCCTGTGCTGGTCCCTGTGCTGGTCTTATGCTGGTCCCTGTGCTGATTCCTGTGCTGGTCCCTGTGCTGGTCCCTGTGCTGGTCTTGTGCTGGTCCCTGTGCTGGTCCCTGTGCTGGTCCCTGTGCTGGTCCCTGTGCTGATTCCTGTGCTGGTCTTGTGCTGGTCCCTGTGCTGGTCTTGTGCTGGTCCCTGTGCTGATCCCTGTGCTGATTCCTGTGCTGGTCCCTGTGCTGGTCCCTGTGCTGGTCCCTGTGCTGGTCCCTGTGCTGATTCCTGTGTTGGTCCCTGTGCTGGTCTTGTGCTGGTCCCTGTGCTGATCCCTGTGCTGATTCCTGTGCTGGTCCCTGTGCTGGTCCCTGTGCTGGTCCCTGTGCTGATTCCTGTGCTGGTCCCTGTGCTGTCTTGTGCTGGTCTTGTGCTGGTCCCTGTGCTGGTCCCTGTGCTGGTCTTGTGCTGGTCCCTGTGCTGGTCCCTGTGCTGATTCCTGTGCTGGTCTTGTGCTGGTCCCTGTGCTGGTCTTGTGCTGGTCCCTGTGCTGATCCCTGTGCTGATTCCTGTGTTGGTCCCTGTGCTGGTCCCTGTGCTGGTCCCTGTGCTGATTCCTGTGGCTGGTCCCTGTGCTGTCTTGTGCTGGTCTTGTGCTGGTCCCTGTGCTGGTCCCTGTGCTGGTCTTGTGCTGGTCCCTGTGCTGATTCCTGTGCTGGTCCCTGTGCTGGTCCCTGTGCTGGTCTTGTGCTGGTCCCTGTGCTGGTCTTGTGCTGGTCTTGTGCTGGTCCCTGTGCTGATGCCTGTGCTGGTCCCTGTGCTGGTCTTGTGCTGGTCCCTGTGCTGATTCCTGTGCTGGTCCCTGTGTGGTCCCTGTGCTGGTTCCTGTGCTGGTCTTGTGCTGGTCCCTGTGCTGATTCCTGTGCTGGTCCCTGTGCTGATTCCTGTGCTGGTCCCTGTGCTGGTCCCTGTGCTGGTCTTGTGCTGGTCTTGTGCTGGTCCCTGTGCTGGTCCCTGTGCTGGTCCCTGTGCTGGTCTTGTGCTGGTCCCTGTGCTGGTCTTGTGCTGGTCCCTGTGCTGATTCCTGTGCTGGTCCCTGTGCTGGTCTTGTGCTGGTCTTGTGCTGGTCCCTGTGCTGGTCTTGTGCTGGTCCCTGTGCTGGTCCCTGTGCTGGTCTTGTGCTGGTCCCTGTGATGATTCCTGTGCTGGTCCCTGTGCTGGTCCCTGTGCTGGTCCCTGTGCTGGTCTTGTGCTGGTCTTGTGCTGGTCCCTGTGCTGATGCCTGTGCTGGTCCCTGTGCTGGTCTTGTGCTGATCCCTGTGCTGATGCCTGTGCTGGTCCCTGTGCTGGTCTTGTGCTGATCCCTGTGCTGGTCCCTGTGCTGGTCCCTGTGCTGGTCCCTGTGCTGGTCCCTGTGCTGGTCTTATGCTGGTCCCTTTGCTGATTCCTGTGCTGGTCCCTGTGCTGGTCCCTGTGCTGGTCCCTGTGCTGGTCTTGTGCTGGTCCCTGTGCTGATTCCTGTGCTGGTCCCTGTGCTGATTCCTGTGCTGGTCCCTGTGCTGGTCCCTGTGCTGGTCTTGTGCTGGTCTTGTGCTGGTCCCTGTGCTGGTCCCTGTGCTGGTCCCTGTGCTGGTCCCTGTGCTGGTCCCTGTGCTGGTCCCTGTGTGATTCCTGTGCTGGTCCCTGTGCTGGTCCCTGTGCTGGTCCCTGTGCTGGTCCCTGTGCTGATTCCTGTGCTGGTCCCTGTGCTGGTCCCTGTGCTGGTCTTGTGCTGGTCTTGTGCTGGTCCCTGTGCTGGTCCCTGTGCTGGTCCCTGTGCTGGTCTTGTGCTGGTCTTGTGCTGGTCCCTGTGCTGGTCCCTGTGCTGGTCCCTGTGCTGGTCCCTGTGCTGATTCCTGTGCTGGTCCCTGTGCTGATTCCTGTGCTGGTCCCTGTGCTGGTCCCTGTGCTGGTCTTGTGCTGGTCTTGTGCTGGTCCCTGTGCTGGTCCCTGTGCTGGTCCCTGTGCTGGTCCCTGTGCTGGTCCCTGTGCTGGTCCCTGTGCTGGTCCCTGTGCAAGTGTGTGACATCACCACAAAGTTAATATAGAAAAATCCAGTTTCCTTATAAGGGCATTTGTTTCGGGGGCATTAGGGTCGGAACAAGAGGACGACATGTTTCTTCGAAGGTTGCTATGGCAACCCGGAGTCCTCTCCGGAATGAAGGCCTCTGATTGGTCAGTGCTGTAGAGGGAGTGACCTGAAGTCCTCTCACATTAGTCCTGGTCTCAGGTCTCTGTCCTGAAGTCCTCTCACATTAGTCCTGGTCTCAAGTCTCTGTCCTGAAGTCCTCTCACATTAGTCCTGGTCTCAGGTCTCTGTCCTGAAGTCCTCTCACATTAGTCCTGGTCTCAGGTCTCTGTCCTGAAGTCCTCCCACATTAGTCCTGGTCTCAGGTCTCTGTCCTGAAGTCCTCTCACATTAGTCCTGGTCTCAGGTCTCTGTCCTGAAGTCCTCTCACATTAGTCCTGGTCTCAGGTCTCTGTCCTGAAGTCCTCTCACATTAGTCCTGGTCTCAGGTCTCTGTCCTGAAGTCCTCTCACATTAGTCCTGGTCTCAGGTCTCTGTCCTGAAGTCCTCCCACATTAGTCCTGGTCTCAGGTCTCTGTCCTGAAGTCCTCTCACATTAGTCCTGGTCTCAGGTCTCTGTCCTGAAGTCCTCTCACATTAGTCCTGGTCTCAGGTCTCTGTCCTGAAGTACTCTCACATTAGTCCTGGTCTCAGGTCTCTGTCCTGAAGTCCTCTCACATTAGTCCTGGTCTCAGGTCTCTGTCCTGAAGTCCTCTCATATTAGTCCTGGTCTCAGGTCTCTGTCCTGAAGTCCTCTCACATTAGTCCTGGTCTCAGGTCTCTGTCCTGAAGTCTTCTCACATTAGTCCTGGTCTCAGGTCTCTGTCCTGAAGTCTTCTCACATTAGTCCTGGTCTCAGGTCTCTGTCCTGAAGTCCTCTCACATTAGTCCTGGTCTCAGGTCTCTGTCCTGAAGTCCTCTCACATTAGTCCTGGTCTCAGGTCTCTGTCCTGAAGTCCTCTCACATTAGTCCTGGTCTCAGGTCTCTGTCCTGAAGTCCTCTCACATTAGGTCCTGGTCTCAGGTCTCTGTCCTGAAGTCCTCTCACATTAGTCCTGGTCTCAGGTCTCTGTCCTGAAGTCCTCTCACATTAGTCCTGGTCTCAGGTCTCTGTCCTGAAGTCCTCTCACATTAGTCCTGGTCTCAGGTCTCTGTCCTGAAGTCCTCTCACATTAGTCCTGGTCTCTCCATAGAATTCCCCTTAAGGAGTTGTGTTACTCTAAGGTGAAAGGGGGCGGAGTCAGAGGTGAAAGGAGGTTGAGTCTGACAGGAACAGGAACATCCTTATATGGGCACAGCTGCAGGTGTTTCATACGGAGCTGATAAACCTGCAGTTGTTTCACAGAAGTCTCTGAGTCATTTCAGATAAAAACAGAACGGTTCAGTCTTTGATGTCACTGATGAGACGCCCACGCTCTGTCGATCTACACATACATACACATATATGAGGACATGTATATAAATGTATTTATACAGTATATATATATATATATATACAGACACATAAATACATGCATATATTGATACTAGTAAGTAAGTAAGTAAGCTTTATAGCGGTTTACAATTGTTAATTTTGGGCATTTGTCTCTCACTCAACACAGAGATGGGAGCAGGGTCGCCGAACAGGAGGCGCATGCCAGAACTATTGTACATATTTTTAGTGGTAGGGGAAACCGGAGTACCCGGAGGAAACCTACGCAGATACGGGGAGAACATGCAAACTCCACTCAGAAAGGCCCTGATCCGGCCGGGATTCGAACCCAGGACCTTCTTGCTGAGAGGCGAGAGTGCTATCCACTCAGCCACCATGCCGCCCAACTGTATGTACTACTACATACGGTATACAGTACAGACCAAAAGTTTGGACACCTCCTCTTTCAAAGAGTGTTTATTTTCATGATTATAAAACTGTAGATTGACACTGAGGGTCTCAAACCTATGATGAACTCATGTGAATGATGTCCGTAGTGAAAAAGTATGAACCAAGTGTAAATATGTGTTATATTCTGGTTCTTCAAAGTAGCTCCTTTTGCTCTGATACTGCTTCACTCTTGGCATTCTCTGGATGAGCTTCAACAGGACCTGAAATGGTCTCCAACAGTCTGGAAGGAGTTCCCATGATGCTTTGCACTTATGGCCCCTTCACTCTGTGGTCCAGCCCCAAAACCATCTGGACTGGGTTCAGGTCCAAAACCATCTGGACTGGGTTCAGGTCCAAAACCATCTGGACTAGGTTCAGGTCCAAAACCATCTGGACTAGGTTCAGGTCCAAAACCATCTGGACTAGGTTCAGGTCCAAAACCATCTGAACTAGGTTCAGGTCCAAAACCATCTGGACTGGGTTCAGGTCCAAAACCATCTGGACTGGGTCTCAACCACCTCTGTCTCCACCAAAGACTCCCTCATCACCTTCCATGGACCCGGCTTGGGTCCCCCCCGCTACATCCACTCCATCTAGGGAAAATGAGGACGACCTTTCCCTTTGTTTTCTATCCCCGCCTTCACTACTGGATTTACCGGAACACTCTGCAGGCATGATAAGTTCGGCGATGAAGACTATTCCTCTCACACCCACTGTAGCCAGATCAAGAGTCCTATCTAACATTCAAAACTACTCCCCATACGTACCTCCAAAGCCACCTAGGGCGTCCAACTCAAATTCTCCCACAAAATCCACCCGTCCCTCCTCTAACCCCATAAGTATTCCACCCCCCCCTCCTGCTCATTTAGCCCACCTCCCCCCCCCTAACCCAGCACCAAGAAACCCTCCACCTCCACTCCCCCCACGTCCACCACCCAACTCAGCCTGCCCCTCCCCTAACCCATCACCAAAAATCCCTCCACCTCCAACCCCCCTCGTTCAACTCCCAAGAACCACCCACCTCTCCATCCTCCTCCCCCGCCTTCCCCTTCCCCTCTTCTCTCTAAACACTAGGATGCACAGGGTCTCTGCTTCGCAGCCACTGGCAGTCTAGTTAGAGGAGAGACCCGGCTGGGGCCCTGTCGTGAAGCCACCTGTGCCATTCCCTTAGTGATAACACAAAGAATACATTACAGAAAAACATCTGAAGTTAATCAGTCTAATCTGGAAAATCTAATTCTTGTTCCGTGTAAGAATCAGCCGACCACAACCGCTGATCCTGAAACTTTGAAACTTGCTATGCTAAATGTCAGATCTCCCCACTTTGTAACAAAGTCTATTTTTAATCAATAATTTTATTTCTTCTCATAATCTTGATCTTATGTTTCATGGCTGAAACTTGGCTTGAACCAAAATACAGAAAATGCAGTTTTAATAGAAGCATCACCACCAACTTTCAAGTTTGAATCTGAAATATGTGAAAACAAAAAGGAGGAAGGCATTAGCTGGCCATTATTCAGAGATCTCCCCATAGAAAAGATTTTCTATCATTTGAGTATATGGTGTCCTTTTAAAATACAGACAAAAACAATCTCCTCCAATACTCTTCATTGTCCTAAATACAAGCCACCGCAGTCATCAGTGTCACAGTTTTATTGATCATTTTACCGAGTTGCTTTCAGTTGTATTGCACAGATTTTGATAGTTTGTTATTACAGGTGATTTTAAATATTCATGTGGATAATGTTATTGACAGAAATGCAAAAGAGCTGAGTTCTGTACTTGAATCCTTTTGATCTCACTCAGCACGTGAGTGGCCCCACCCACAGCAGAGGGCACACTCTAGATCTGTTAGTTACAAAGGGGGTTGATTATTTCATAATGTAAACGTGGTTGATGTGGCTCTGTCGGATCATTTCTGTGTTTTTTTTGACATGTGTTTTGATAACAAACAACCATATGGATCTGCAATCTGCAATTCGTCAGACACAGCACATAAATGAAAACACGAGTGAACTATTTATGGGAATGATAAACTTTGAGAACACATTGTGTTCTACTGTTGACGAATTGTTTAACTCTGTCACCGCCAATGTTATAAATGTTCTGGACATCATCGCTCCTGTGAAGGTTAAAATGATTACAAATAAGCCAAAGGCCCCCTGGACTAAAATGGACTCAGTCATGGTACAGAAGAGAGAGTGCCGTAGGGCCGAGCGGAAGTGGCGAAAATCCAATCTCCAGGTTGATCATGATATCTTCAAAAATGAGTTGTGCAAGTTTAACCGGGTGCTACGTAGAACAAGAGAAATTTATTTTTCTAAAACCATTGATGGCTGCAATAATAATCTACGACTTATGTTTTCAACAGTTAACGGATTAACAAACCCCCCTGTTCAGCTGCCATTCGAATTTGCTTCAGAATCTAAATGTAATGAGTTTGCACAATTTTTCAATGACAAGGTTCAGAGCATCAAAAACGCCATCACCTCCAAGGCAGAAATAACATTACAACAGCCGGTGAGGCTGTTTGAGCTATCGCACTTTGCACCAACAGATAATGAAACTGTCCAAGATGTTGTCTCTAGCCTTAGTTCCTCCACATGTAGCCTGGATGTACTACCCACTAAATTTTTAAAGTCTGTTTTGAGCAGTCTTTTACCTTTGCTCACACAAATAGTGAACATGTCTTTCTCATCTGGAACATTTCCAATGGCCCTGAAAACGGCAGTCATCAGACCCCTCCTAAAAAAGAGGAGTCTAGATGCCACAGTTCTTAAGAATTATCGCCCCATTTCAAATTTGCCGTTTATGGGAAAAATTCTGGAAAAAGTTGCTTACCAACAACTTACAGAATTCTTAGTAACTAATAGTTCCTTTGATGCGCTCCAGTCCGGCTTTAGAGCCAATCACAGCACTGAGACTGCACTAGTGAAGGTTACAAATGACATCCGACTTAACACCGACACAGGAAAAGTCACAGTTTTAGTAATGTTGGATCTGAGTGCTGCGTTCGACACAGTCGACCACGAGATCCTCATGCAGAGACTAGAGCACTGGGTGGGTGTCACTGGGACTGCCCTAAGTTGGTTTAGGTCTTACCTAGAAGACAGGAAATACTTGGTTCAGATAGGAAACTGTGTCTCAGATCATATGGCTCTGACCTGCGGAGTGCCACAGGGATCAATTCTGGGGCCTCTTCTGTTCAATATTTACATGCTGCCGTTAGGTCAGTTAATACGCTCCAACAATGTATCCTACCACAATTACGCTGATGACACTCAAATTTATGTCTCACTTACTGCAGGAGAACATGGACCAGTGGACTCACTCCTTCACTGTATCCAACAGATCAGTGAGTGGATGCAAAACAACTTCCTTCAGCTAAACGCAGACAAAACTGAAATGATTGTCTTTGGTCCCCAGAAACAAAGAGAGAGCGTCATCTCTGTCATCTACAGTCTCTCGCTCCCTAAAACCTTCAAACAAGGTCAGAATCTAGGGGTAATTACTGTGTCTACTCGAGACTTACATTTTAATAGCAATGGCCTGCTCATCAAATCAGTAACATCAGCAGCTTTTTACCATCTAAAAAACATTGCACTGGCTTCCTGTGGCTCAGAGAATAGACTTCAAAGCAGCACTGCTTGTGTACAAGTCTCTCCATGGCCTCGCACCAGGGTACTTAAGCGACTTGTTAGTCCCATATGAACCGGCCCGGACTCTGAGGAGCACAGGAGGTAGCCTCTTACTGGTTCCAAGAGTCAGAACTAAACATGGGGAGGCAGCGTTTGAGATTTATGGAGCTAAAATCTGGAACAATCTTCCTGAAGATGTGAGGCTAGCATCTACTCTGGCAATTTTTAAATCAGGGCTAAAAACTGTTCTTTTTAGCTGTGCATTCGGCTGAAGGATTTTATTGATACATACTCTTTTTTGTTAATGCATTGTGGTTATTTATTATTTTAATCCTGTGTGTGCTTTTAATATTTTAATTTTTTTTTTTTTTTTTTTTTTCCATTACTTGTGATTTTATTCTGTTTTTAATGTATTTATTGATGTCTCTGATTTGTGTGATATTATGTGGGTTGTGAGGCGCTTTGAGTGGCCTTGTGTTGGAAAGGCGCCATACAAATAAAGTTGATTGATTGATAGCCTCACACCAGTGTGTTCCTTCTTTTATGTGTGACAGTATGTTTTGTGTCGAGTGGTGATGTTAATGCTGTGTTTGTGTGTTCTGCAGAGCAGGAACCTGCTGAAAATCAGTTTGTACTGAGCCAGGCCCGATTTTGTTTTAAATCTTTCCTGCCTAATAAATAAAATGAATGAACTAAATGGCTTTGTCCCATTGGAGAATCTTGTTTTCCTGTGGACTCACCACCTGCAGGAGGATCAGTGAGGGGCTGGTGCTCTGTGTACTGGGTGCAGCTCTGACTGCCACCCCCCCGACCCAGAAATGGATTAAGGGGAAGAAAATGGATGGATGGATGGATGGACGGTGATCCAAAATGGCGAGCTGTTTTAGTTTACATCGAGTTCTATGGGACATTTTTATGTGGAGGCCACGTGAATTTAGTCTGCAGTACCACGGCGCCCCCTGTGTCCGTGGGTGGGACAGCTATAAGCTAGTTATACCCTATCCCGATCTTATTATAGATCCATGGTCAGAATGTACTAGAAAATTTACTCAGATTTTATCATTTTTTGCAGTCTTATTATTTCAAGTAATTGGAATGTTGTATCGCCAAGCACCTCTGTCATGACACCCCAATCTCCCCCCCACTCCCCCCTCTCACCGGACCAGGTGAGGAGTGAGCTCAAGCGACTGAAGCAGAGGAAATCTACAGGACGGGATCAGTCCCAGGCTGCTGAGGACCTGTGCAGACCAGCTCTCTGAGGTCCTCAGCTACATGTACAACCTGAGCCTCAGCCTGGAGAAGGTCCCTGTCCTGTGGAAGACCTCCTGTGTGATCCCAGTTCCTAAAACAGCGCACACCAAGGAACCATCCTCACCCATCTCCGCTCCGTGGTCAGCCCCACCCTCCGCTGCAGTTCGCCTACAGACCCAACATCGGAGTAGAGGACGCCATCATCTACCTACTGCAGCGGACGCTCTCCCACCTGGAGCCTGCAGGGAGCGCTGTGAGGGTCATGTTTTTTCTAAGCAAGAGTCCAGCTAGCGAACCTTATCGGAAGTCACACACGTGTGGTATTCTTGTCCATTCGTTCCTGCAGATCTTTAGTCATTGAGGCTGTGGTTCTCCTGCACGGTTCACGAGGGTCAGTGGTCTCCCTCACGGTTTCAGAGGGTCTGTGGTCCACCTCACGGTTAAGATGTGTCTGTGGTTACCTCACGGTTCAGAGGGTCTGTGTGTCCAACCTCACACGGTTCAGTAGGGTCTGTGGTTCTACCTCACGGTTCAGAGGGTCTGTGGGTCTCCCTCACGGGTTCAGAGGGTCTGTGGTCTACCTCACGGTCAGAGGAGTCTGTGTCCACCTCACGGTTCAGAGGGTCTGTGGTTTCTACCTCACGGTTCAGAGGGGTCTGTGGGTGTCCACTCACGGTTCAGAGGGTCGGTGGTCTCTCTCACGGTTCAGTGGGTCTGTGGGCCACTCACGATTCAGAGGTGTTCTGTGGTCTCCCTCACTGGTTCAGAGGGTCTGTGGTCCACCTCTCGGTTTCAAGGTGGGTCTGTGGTCTAACCTCACGGTTCAGAGTGTCTGTGGTCCACCTCACGGTTCTGAGGGTTGTGGTCTCCCTTCACGTTTTCTGAGGGTCTGTGGTCCATCTTTTTTTTCCACGGTTCAGAGGGTCCTGTGGGTCCACTCTTCGGTTCAGAGGGTCTGTGGTCTACCTCCGGTTCAGAGGGTCTGTGGTTTACCTTACGGTCAGAGGAGTCTAGTGGTCTACCTACGGTTCAGAGGGTCTGTGGGACGGTCTACCTCACGGTTACAGAGGTCTCTGGTCTCCCTCACGGTCAAGAGGGTCTGTGGTCTACCTCACGTACATACGGTTCAGAGGGTCTGTTGGTCTCCTCACGGTTCAGTGGGTCTGTGGTCTCCCTACGGTTCAGGAGGGGTCTGTGGTTACCTCACGGGTCTGAGGGTTTGTTGTCCCCCTCCACGGTTTCAGAGGGTCTGTGGTCCCCTCACGGTTCAGAGGGTCTGTTGGTCTACCTTACGGTTCAGAGGGTCTAGTGGGTCTACCTTACGGTTTCAGAGGGTCTGTGGTCTTACCTCACGGTTCTGAGGGTTTGTGGTTCCCCCTCACGGTTCAGAGGGTCTGTGGTCCCTCTCACGGTTCAGAGGGGGTCTGTGGTTCTACCTTACGGTTCAGAGGGTCTGTGGTGTACCTTCGGTTAGAGGGTCTGTGGTTACTTACGGTTCAGAGGGGTCTGTAGTCTACCTTAACGGTTTTCAGTGGGTCTGTGGTTCTACCTCACGGGTTGCAGAGTGTCTGTGTCTCTCTCTCGATCGAGGGTCTGTTGGTTCACCTCACCGTTTAAGTAGGGGTCTGTGGTCTCCCTCACGGTTCCAGGGGGATCTGTGGTCTACCTCACGGTCAGAGGGTCTGTGGTCTACCTCACGGATCAGAGGGTCTGTGGTCTGAGGTGTCTCCATCACGTCCAGAGGGTCTGTGTCTACCACACGTACTCACGTCGAGGGTCTGTGGTTCTTACCTTACGTTCAGAGGGTCCTGTGGTTACATACGGTTCAGAGGGTCTGTGGTTCGACCTCCCGGTTCAGAGGGTTTGTGGTTCCCCATACGGTGTCAGAGGGGTTTGTGTTTCCCCCTCACGGTTCAGAGGGTCTGTGGTCTACCTTACGGTTTTCAGAGAGTATGTGGTCTACCTTACGGTTCAGAGGGTCTGTAGTAGTCTACCTTACGGGTTCAGAGGGGTCTGTTGTCTTACCTCACGGTCAGAGGGTCTGTGGTCCTCCATACGGTATCAGCTGGGTCTGTGGTCTCTTACGGTTAGTGGGTCTGTTGTCTACCTTTAGGTTCAAGAGGGTCTGTAGTCTCCTCAATGGTTCCTAGGGAAAGTTGTAAACCGGCTATCCTATATATGATTTAGGGGAGTAGCCCAAAAAGGGGTCAGTAGCCGCTTATGCTCCGGAGGCTACCGTTTTTTGGGCTACTAGTTGGGAAATGGGATACCCTTTTTGACGGTTTGGGATACTTTCTGACGGGAACCACCGGAGGCGCTCTAAGCTTGATTATTGAAGCTTTAGATTGAATGGGTTTTTTTGACGTTCTTCAGTGCTAGGTAGGGGTTGCTGTGGGTGGCCCCCCCCCCGGGCCCAGCCCCCCCCCCCCCCCCCCCCGGGGGTGGCCCCCCCCCCCCCCCCCCCCCCCCCCCCCCCCCCCCCCCCCCCCCCCCGCTCGGGACTATAGGGTAGCCTCCATGAAATCAGTTGCTAATGTGGCGAACCGCTGCTGTGCTGTGGGGGGCAGGCTCTTTGAGGGTAGCCCTCTATTAATTTAGTTCATTTGTGCTAATTAGGGCGCCCGCTGCTGCTGTGGGGGGCACTTTTAGGGTAGCCCTCTATTAAATTAGTTCATTAGTGTAATTAGGGCCCCGCTGCTGCTGTGGGGGGCACTTTAGGGTAGCCCTCCAATTGAATTCGTTTGTGTAGTGCTAATGAGGCGCCCCGCCTGCTAGCTGTGGGGGTCACTTTAGAGGTTAGCTGTTACGTCGAAGGGTGCGTACAAGTTATCGAATAGTTGATGAATTTGAAAAACTTATTTACAAAGCTCTCCAAGCACGTTTTGGCCTTCAAAAACCTACATTAAAGGGGCAGGTGTACCAAAATTTCAACTTTGGACTACGGCCTCATTTTTGACTATGTTACACAGCAGGCTATTCTGAGCTCGACTTAGTAGGCGCCCCACTCAAACGACCAAATAGGCAGCAAAGTAGCCAAGTCGAGGGCCGGTCTGGGCAAGCCGAGAAACTTGTATTTTTATTGAAGACGTGACGAGCTTGATTGGGTGATTTTTTTACCGAACAGAAGGCCCGGCCCCCACCCCCCCCCCCCCCCCCCCCCCCCCCCCCCCCCCCCCCCCCCCCCCCCCCCCCCCCCCCCCCCCCCCCCCCCCCCCCCTCCACCCCCCCCCCCACGAGAACCGTAGGCCCCCAGAGGTCTAACATTCACCGTTGGACTCGTCCGTGGCCCTTTACCACATATCGAAATTCAAGCCTGTAACCGGTAGAACATTATCGTGACCCAATCTGGCCTAGCCATGTTCAAACATGGTGTCAGGGACCGTAGTGACCCTAACCCACCTTGAAATGCTAGTTGGCTAAGCTCAGATTCTTTCCGAAGGTTGCACAGGCACAGCCTGACCTTACAGGAACCGCTCGGCCAGCCGAACGAACGGTTGTTATGCTTTTGTCCCTGCCATGTTCTTCGCGGGAGCTAGGTGGGCGACAACTTTGTAAACCCCCACCTTGTTATGTGTTATAACTCGGCCAAACGAGGTCGTACGCGATGGTTACAGGGATCGTTTGAAAGCCCGCACGTGACGAGTCACATAATTGTGCTGTGCAGCAAGGTCAGCCAAAATTCCAAAATTTGTTTCTCCAATTGTAGGGACGTTTAAAAAGATACAAAGATAACTTAGTAAACGCTAAAGGCAGGTTTCTACCCATCATCTGTACTTCTGTAGCATGTTTTCCGACGTTTCGTCCTCAATACCTAGCGGATCTTCAGGGAATGAATTCTCGGACCGCGCGTTGGAGATTATACCTATGGGTGTGGTAAGCCAACTCCCTAATCCTGATACTAACTCGTAACAATTCTAAGGTCTGATATGTAGAATGGGAGCAGGTTATACGACCCCTGCTGAGGCTAACGACCTACTCCTTAGCACGTCTCGAGTCCTTTTGTCTGCTGGGGATTGCTCTACTCAAGTGGAGTGCAGGTCTCACCCCTCCTAACTTCATTCTAGCATGTCACAAACTTTATCTGCTTGGGGTTATGTTCATAGTGGGTGCGAGGTCTCACCCACTCCTAACTCATTAAGCATGTTCACTGAACCTTGTCCCAAGTTGGGCGTTGTTTTAGGATGTCGTCTATAGATGCGATGCGCAAAACAAATCTTAACCCTCCTCCTCTGTTAAGAGAATGGTTTTTGTTTCCTCACTAAAAGGGCTTCTTTCCCCCCCTCTCTCAAACCAATTCTTCTCCGAGCCAGAATTTTTACCTTGTGTTTATCCACCGTGTGGTTTGCGTGGCTTGAGGTGGAGATGAACAGCGACTGTGGCCCACTAGAGTTTTCTCTACGATGTTGGTAAAGTCGTTTTCTGTAGAGTTTGTTTGGTTTCTCCAATATAGTAGAGTCAGTTACATCCTCTTCACTTACATTTAATGAATACACCACATTGCTCTGTTTGGTGTTCCTGGGTGTTTTGTCTTTGGGATGCACTAATTTCTGTGTCGTTAACGTGTTGAAAAGGTTTGATTACACAGGGATTTTGTGTTTTGCCTAAGATTTTTGTAGTTTCTCTGAAAACTCCCGACATTCGGTAAGGACCACCCCTCTCCTCTACTTTCTTCTGTTGTTGGACTGTGTCTCTGGCCTTTTCTCGTCCTTTGGGCTTTAGTTAAAAAGACCCACTTGGGGTAGCCAAACCTCTGGCAAGTGCTCTACTGAACATGTTTGGGTTCTCTTTGTTTTTCTGTCCGAGCTTGTTTGTGGGGACCTGGGTGGGCTCGGTGTTGAAGCGTTCTAATGACCCCGAGTTTGTGTTTTGTAGCGGAAGTTTGACTCAAAGGCCAAGTCTGGTCAGTGTGAGTGGCCCTTTCTGACAATAGTGTGAATGGTACAATCAGGTCGCGTCCCTCTAACCTGTCAGATTTCCCGGATTACCTCCTCCGTGTTCAGGCCCTACTACCCAGGAAACGCAGGCGGCGTGGGGTGCGCAGTGGCCGCCGGGTCAGGCTGAAGTCCTGGCTTGTTCTTTCACCGGAGCTCTTGAGGTTTCCAGTAAATATTCCACGGGACTCTGAGGCCTGCTGCCGACGCTTCCTCTCTCCACGTCAGCCGGCTCCTCTCACCGTGGCTTAGCTGCAGCCTGTCTGTGGACCACAGGACTAGCCCTGGACCGTGCGCCGTGGCCTGTCTCGTCCTTACCAGGGATTGGGAGGTGCAGACGCCGCAAATCTTTGGCCCTCGATGCGGGCCGCTCCGGGGAACAATTGGCCAAAGTGTGTGTCAAGTCGATAATAGTAGTTTGCTTCTGTAATTGTGCCTCATTTTGTTAGAAAGCTTTGATTGAACCGCTCCTGAAGAAGCAGAGTCTGGACCCCTCCTGTGTCGGGGAGCGGCCAGCCCCAGCTCCTGGTGCCTAAGACCAGACTTAAGACCAGATTTAAGACCCAGGGACAGGGCCTTCTCTGAGGCTGGACCCCTACAGTGTCGGGGAGCGGCCAGCCCCAGCTCCTGGTGCCTAAGACCAGACTTAAGACCAGACTTAAGACCCAGGGACAGGGCCTTCTCTGAGGCTGGACCAAAGGACCTCTGGATTGCCCCGCCCTAGGCATAGTTAGTTAGTTAGAGATAGAGTGAGTTAGAGATAGTTAGAGATAGTTATTTAGAGATAGTTAGAGTTAGTTATAGTTAGTTAGTTAAGAGTTAGTTATTTAGAGGTAGAGTTAGAGTTAGTTAGAGTTAGTTAGAGCTGACCTGCAGTCGGAGTGAGTGCTCGTGTTTCCTCTTCATGTTGTTGATGTGTCGAGCGACTCTCTGCATCGTGTCGATCGCCTCCTGCACCATCTCCACAGACACTGAGTCATCCAGGTGTGTAACCATCTCCTACACACACACACACACACACACACACACACACTGAGTCATCCAGGTGTGTAACCATCTCCTACACACACACACACACTGAGTCATCCAGGTGTGTAACCATCTCCTACACACACACACACACGCACACACTGAGTCATCCAGGTGTGTAACCATCTCCTACACACACACACACACTGAGTCATCCAGGTGTGTAACCATCTCCTACACACACACACACACGCACACACTGAGTCATCCAGGTGTGTAACCATCTCCTACACACACACACACACACACACACTGAGTCATCCAGGTGTGTAACCATCTCCTACACACACACTGAGTCATCCAGGTGTGTAACCATCTCCTACACACACACACACACGCACACACTGAGTCATCCAGGTGTGTAACCATCTCCTACACACACACACACAGACACAGAGTCATCCAGGTGTGTAACCATCTCCTACACACACACACACACACACGCACTGAGTCATCCAGGTGTGTAACCATCTCCTACACACACACACACACACACACACACACGCACTGAGTCATCCAGGTGTGTAACCATCTCCTACACACACACACACTGAGTCATCCAGGTGTGTAACCATCTCCTACACACACACACACACACACACACACGCACACACAGAGTCATCCAGGTGTGTAACCATCTCCTACACACACACACACACACACACACTGAGTCATCCAGGTGTGTAACCATCTCCTACACACACACACACTGAGTCATCCAGGTGTGTAACCATCTCCTACACACACACACACACACGCACTGAGTCATCCAGGTGTGTAACCATCTCCTACACACACACTGAGTCATCCAGGTGTGTAACCATCTCCTACACACAAACACACACACACACGCACTAAGTCATCCAGGTGTGTAACCATCTCCTACACACACACACAGAGTCATCCAGGTGTGTAACCATCTCCTACACACACACACACACGCACACACAGAGTCATCCAGGTGTGTAACCATCTCCTACACACACACACACACACACACACACACACACACTGAGTCATCCAGGTGTGTAACCATCTCCTACACACACACACACAGAGTCATCCAGGTGTGTAACCATCTCCTACACACACACACACACAGAGTCATCCAGGTGTGTAACCATCTCCTACACACACACACACAGAGTCATCCAGGTGTGTAACCATCTCCTACACACACACAGACACTGAGTTATCCAGGTGTGTAACCATCTCCTACACACACACACAGAGTCATCCAGGTGTGTAACCATCTCCTACACACACACACACACACACACACGCACACACAGAGTCATCCAGGTGTGTAACCATCTCCTACACACACACACACACACACACACACACACACTGAGTCATCCAGGTGTGTAACCATCTCCTACACACACACACACAGAGTCATCCAGGTGTGTAACCATCTCCTACACACACTGAGTCATCCAGGTGTGTAACCATCTCCTACACACACACAGACACTGAGTTATCCAGGTGTGTAACCATCTCCTACACACACTGAGTCATCCAGGTGTGTAACCATCTCCGACACACACACACACACACACACACACACACACACACACACACACACACACACACACACACACACACACACACACACACACACACACACACACACACACACACACACACACACACACACACAGTTATCCAGGTGTGTAACCATCTCCTACACACACGGAGTTATCCAGGTGTGTAACCATCTCCTACACACACACAGACACTGAGTCATCCAGGTGTGTAACCATCTCCTACACACACACTGAGTCATCCAGGTGTGTAACCATCTCCGACACACACACACACACACACACACACACACACACACACACACACACACACACACACACACCACACACACACACACACACACACACACACACACACACACACACAGAGTTATCCAGGTGTGTAACCATCTCCTACACACACGGAGTTATCCAGGTGTGTAACCATCTCCTACACACACACAGACACTGAGTCATCCAGGTGTGTAACCATCTCCTACACACACACACACACATACACACACAGACACACACACAGACAGACACACACACACACACAGTCATCCAGGTGTGTAACTATCTCCTACATACACTGAACTGTGTTATGTAGTAGTGTTGTGTAGCAGTGTTGTGTAGCGGCCTCACGTGCAGCAGCAGGTGGTACTTGAGGATCCTCTGCAGTGTGTAATGTTGTGTAGTGTTGTGTAGTTGTGTAGCGGCCTCACGTGCAGCAGCAGGTGGTACTTGAGGATCCTCTGCAGTGTGTAATGTTGTGTAGTGTTGTGTAGTTGTGTAGCGGCCTCACGTGCAGCAGCAGGTGGTACTTGAGGATCCTCTGCAGTGTGTAATGTTGTGTAGTGTTGTGTAGTTGTGTAGCGGCCTCACGTGCAGCAGCAGGTGGTAACTTGAGGATCCTCTGCAGTGTGTAGTGTTGTGTAGTGTTGTGTAGTTGTGTAGCGGCCTCACGTGCAGCAGCAGGTGGTACTTGAGAATCCTCTGCAATGTGTAATGTTGTGTAATGTTGTGTAGTGTTGTGTAGTTGTGTAGCGGCCTCACGTGCAGCAGCAGGTGGTACTTGAGAATCCTCTGCAATGTGTAATGTTGTGTAGTGTTGTGTAGTGTTGTGTAGTTGTGTAGCGGCCTCACGTGCAGCAGCAGGTGGTACTTGAGAATCCTCTGCAATGTGTAATGTTGTGTAATGTTGTGTAGTGTTGTGTAGTGTTGTGTAGTTGTGTAGCGGCCTCACGTGCAGCAGCAGGTGGTACTTGAGGATCCTCTGCAGTGTGTAATGTTGTGTAGTTGTGTAGCGGCCTCACGTGCAGCAGCAGGTGGTACTTGAGAATCCTCTGCAGTGTGTAGTGTTGTGTAGTGTTGTGTAGTTGTGTAGCGGCCTCACGTGCAGCAGCAGGTGGTACTTGAGGATCCTCTGCAGTGTGTAATGTTGTGTAGTTGTGTAGCGGCCTCACGTGCAGCAGCAGGTGGTACTTGAGGATCCTCTGCAGTGTGTAGTGTTGTGTAGTGTTGTGTAGTTGTGTAGCGGCCTCACGTGCAGCAGCAGGTGGTACTTGAGAATCCTCTGCAATGTGTAATGTTGTGTAATGTTGTGTAGTGTTGTGTAGTTGTGTAGCGGCCTCACGTGCAGCAGCAGGTGGTACTTGAGAATCCTCTGCACCGGCTTCAGGAGGTAAGAGCCCAGAGGAAGAGAGTGATGCAGAGTCTCCTGACGCTCTCGGAACAACTTCGCTAAAGTTTTATTCCTCATGCAGTCTGTGAGGACCGCAACTGACCTGAGGGACAGAGGACACTGATGAGACCGAGGACACACTGATGAGGCCGAGGACACTGATGAGACCGAGGACACACTGATGAGACCGAGGACACACTGATGAGACCGAGGACACTGATGAGACCGAGGACACACTGATGAGACCGAGGACACACTGATGAGACCGAGGACACTGATGAGACCGAGGACACACTGATGAGACCGAGGACACTGATGAGACCGAGGACACACTGATGAGACCGAGGACACACTGATGAGACCGAGGACACTGATGAGACCGAGGACACACTGATGAGACCGAGGACACACTGATGAGACCGAGGACACTGATGAGACCGAGGACACTGATGAGACCGAGGACACACTGATGAGACCGAGGACACACTAATGAGACTGAGACCGAGGACACACTGATGAGACCGAGGACACACTGATGAGACCGAGGACACTGATGAGACCGAGGACACTGATGAGACCGAGGACACACTGATGAGACCGAGGACACACTGATGAGACCGAGGACACTGATGAGACCGAGGACACACTGATGAGACCGAGGACACTGATGAGACCGAGGACACACTGATGAGACCGAGGACACACTGATGAGACCGAGGACACTGATGAGACCGAGGACACACTGATGAGACCGAGGACACACTGATGAGACCGAGGACACTGATGAGACCGAGGACACACTGATGAGACCGAGGACACACTAATGAGACTGAGGACACTGATGAGACCGAGGACACACTGATGAGACCGAGGACACACTGATGAGACCGAGGACACACTAATGAGACTGAGACCGAGGACACACTGATGAGACCGAGGACACACTGATGAGACCGAGGACACACTGATGAGACCGAGGACACACTGATGAGACCGAGGACACACTGATGAGACCGAGGACACACTGATGAGACCGAGGACACACTGATGAGACCGAGGACACACTGATGAGACCGAGGACACACTGATGAGACCGAGGACACTGATGAGACCGAGGACACTGATGAGACCGAGGACACACTGATGAGACCGAGGACACTGATGAGACCGAGGACACTGATGAGACCGAGGACACTGATGAGACCAGTCCATTCCTCACAGGAAGAATCAGGCCATCTCCGCGTTAGAGGTTTTTTACTGCCAACAGCAGTATTCAAAACATTTTGTTGTCATCTCTTCTTCTAAAATTCAGATTTTCTGTTTTCCCCAGATACATAAGTTGAAAACTGGTTGTAATTTTAACTTCTAACACTTCCTCTATCGCCACTTTCAAATCTGTCCAAAATGGAGTGATGAGGGAGCATCCCAGAAGATGTGGAAGTGATCTGCCAACATTGTGTTTCTCCTCTGAGCACAAAACCTCAACGTGTACTTCCTTCGTATTCATGATAGTGACTTCAGAACAAGCTGCACATTGTGGCCGTCGGTGAGGGTCACAGCCACTGACCCTCAGTGGGGGGGAGGGGGCGGGGCACAGCTGTTGGGCCCAAAACAGGAACAGAGGGAAAGTTTTGAGCCTCCGACGAGAATCAATGGAACCATTTTCTTCTGCTTCAGTCCCAAAAGTCTGAAAACTTCTGTGTTTATTTATAAAACTAACTCTAACCCCAACCCCAACTCAAACCCTGTAGTACTGTATGTAGTACTCTGGCCAGTATAGTAAGTAATCTAGTAAGTAAGTAATCTTTATTTATATACCGCCTTTCACAGACCAGAGTCAAGGCGCGTTCAGACCAAAAGCTTCAAAAAGCTTTTGACGCGCTTCAACTGACGCCGGGATAGTTTTGTCATTTTGGTGCTTGAAGCTTTTGACGCGCCTGACGCCGGTGGGAGGAGCTTCTCTGTTGTCTGTGGGAGGAGCTTCTCTGTTGTCTGTGGGAGGAGCTTCTATGTTGTCTGTGGGAGGAGCTTCTCTGTTGTCTGTGGGAGGAGCTTCTCTGTTGTCTGTGGGAGGAGCTTCTCTGTTGTCTGTGGGAGGAGCTTCTCTGTTGTCTGTGGACAGCGGTGGATTTTTCATTGAGCAGCGAGCCTTTATTTGTTATATAAGTCGGGGTCCGCTTCGCCCTGTCGGTACTTATTTTCCGATAATGACCTGCGTATTATACGTTATCCCTTACATAACGTTGTTGTAGGGCTTCAACAAAACATGTTCTGGGTTCACCACAGACTTGAGAGGCTGCAGTGTTTGCAGAGTTCCGTCATTTACTCCAGGAGCTGCGTACGGAGGAGTTTAGCTTTCAGCGGTACTTCCACATGTCACTCACCCAGTCTGAGTTCTCAAACCCCGGCTCTCGCCTCTCCCTGCCTCTCGCTCGCCTCTCCCTGCCTCTCGCTCGCCTCTCCCCGGCTCTCCCCGCCTCTCGCTCGCCTCTCCCCGGCTCTCGCTCGCCTCTCCCCGCCTCTCGCTCGCCTCTCCCCGGCTCTCGCTCGCCTCTCCCTGCCTCTCGCTCGCCTCTCCCCGGCTCTCGCTCGCCTCTCCCCGCCTCTCGCTCGCCTCTCCCCGGCTCTCGCTCGCCTCTCCCTGCCTCTCACTCGCCTCTCCCTGCCTCTCACTCGCCTCTCCCTGCCTCTCCCCGGCTCTCACTCGCCTCTCCCCGGCTCTTGCTCGCCTCTCCCTGCCTCTCACTCGCCTCTCCCCGGCTCTCGCTCGCCTCTCCCCGGCTCTCGCTCGCCTCTCCCCGGCTCTCGCTCGCCTCTCCCTGCCTCTCCCCGGCTCTCGCTCGCCTCTCCCTGCCTCTCCCTGCCTCTCGCTCGCCTCTCCCTGCCTCTCCCCGGCTCTCGCTCGCCTCTCCCCGGCTCTCGCCCGCCTCTCCCTGCCTCTCCCCGGCTCTCGCCCGCCTCTCCCTGCCTCTCCCCGGCTCTCGCCCGCCTCTCCTCCTGCCTCTCCCTTCGCCTCTCCCCGCTCTCGCCCGCCTCTTCCTGCCTCTCCCCGGCTCTCGCCCGCCTCTCCCTGCCTCTCCCCGGCTCTCGCCCGCCTCTCCCTGCCTCTCCCCGGTTCTCGCCCGCCTCTCCCTGCCTCTCCCCGCCTCTCCCCGCCTCGCTCTCGCCTCTCCCTGCCT